GGATTCCCTATACATTGCTCTTAAGGTCTTAAGGATTCAGGCTGTTGGGTTTGCAACTCTTGGGCTCCTACTGTAGCCACCTGAAGACGGACTCATGGGGTGCACATTTTCGTGGGCTTCATAGGGTTAAGGTTTAGGATTCAGGATAGGGGTGGATGAGGGTATTACAGGCTTTCATGAGTTTCAGTAGGATTATATCAGGGTAACTATCACAGGAGTTTCTGAACAACGGCTTCGATGAACTTCCTAAGGCTTTTATGCGATTTTTCAGGATTCAACATCTGGCCACAAGACACCGTGGTATATCTTACGGAATACCGTTGAATAGAGGGGCGTGGCGTAAGGGTGCAGACTGAAACCACTCGAGATGGAGATAGCGTTTAGACAAAGTCTTTCGTGTGGCAACTGTGCGATTGTATCCTTCAGGCTTGGGGTTTCATAGCTTAGCCCCCGAGATGTCAGGGTCACTTGCAGCTGTGCCACTGCCCACTGATGATGGGCAAACGGCGCGACCAAAACCGACCCGCGCCAGTCGGAAGCCGAGCAGATGGAAGCCGAAGGCCGGGTGAAGGCCGCTGTGTATTGTAGGGCCCAAATAATTGCTAATATTATTTTGGGGCTTCCTTATTATAATTATAGGATAGTGGGCCCCAAAACCCTATTGCAATTGTTCCGGCCCCTATATTAGAAGCACCAGCGGCTGCGGTACTTCCGGGTTGCACGTGCGGTACGAGGCCGGGGTGTCAGCCATGGAGCCAGCACTCTCATCACTGAGTGACATCGCAGGATATTCTTGTAAGGGTCTTGATATAGTTGCCCCTAGACATTGAGATTCGAGCAGACAAACCATCCCTCCGTCTCCCATTCAGCGACAAGGTCTGACAATTGAAGCCGGAACAATTAGAAGATGGTTTCGGGCTACATTCTACTTTTGTCATAATAAGGGTTCCCCCGAAAAACAGTTCAGTTATAGGTCAGTATTCCGACGCCTGTATTGCTACTGGCCTCGCCTCATCTTCAGTATCTCGGCGCAAGTCCGACTCACCCTAATCCCTAAACCCTAAACCCCGAAGCCTAAACCGTAAACCCAGGACCCTACACCCTAAACCCTGTATACACATCCCTAAACCCTAAGCCCCGAACCCTAAACCCCAAGCCCCCAAACCTGTGCTCTTTACACTTAGCTCCGTCCACCAGCGAGACCATGCTCCACACAGCGGCCGTGCAGCCCTTCTTGTCCGAAGTTCCCACGAAGCTCCATATGGGTAGTTCTTTAAATTAGGGACTTTCTTAGGTTCCTGAAAGGGATCTATAAGGGTTTCTATAGGGTTTCTATAAGGGTACTATATGGGTACTCTTAAATTGCGGTCCCTTTTAGGGTCCTCCTTACAAGGGTGCCGTATTAGTTTGGGGACCCAACAGGGACCCTAATTTAGAGAACTACACATGTAGACTAGTATTGTGGAATTGGGTACCCAAAGCTATGACAGGGATGGTCCTTTGGGGCCCAACTCAATAAGGGTCTCTAGAAAAAATGTCAGCGCTTACATGAAGTGTGAGCGACCGGTCATTGAGAACTTCTCACGCAGATGCGAAAGGAGCCTGCGAAATGAGCCTTCGAAACTCGTAGGCAAGACCCTAGACCCTATTCTTTAAAAGCCTTTCGCCCGATAGCTTGAACCCAAAACCCCGAAGCCTTGTGAGATCCTTAAACCCTAAGCCCTAAAACCCAAAACCCTAAACCCCTAATCCCTAAGCCTAAACCCTAAAAGAAAAAAAAACTTCCCAGGGCTTTAGATGCCGATGGCTGTGGACGGCTGCCAGCAGAGGCCACTCGCGAGAAGTCCGTCCGGCTTTCCGGGGCCTCTACTATAGGGGCCTCAATAATTTAAGTAGGGTTTAGGGGTTCCGTTTAAGGGCTCGTTTAAGGGATACTATAAGGGCTGCTATAATAAGGTTTTAGGGTTTAGGGACCTTAATAATTAGACTACGGTTTTGGGGCCCATGATGTCATGTGTTATATTTAAAATAAGGAGCCCCGAAAATACTATTGGTAGTTATTTAGGCCCCTACATCAGGAGCATTTTCGGTGTGTTCGTGTTTGGATTTAGGGGTTGCGGTTTAGGGTTTTGGGGTTTTAGGGTTTGGGGTTTAGGGTTTAGGGTTTTAGGGTTTAGGGTTTAGGGCTGAGGAGTGATTTAGAGGGGTTTCGGTTTCTCTTGAAGTTGCAGGGGCTTTCAACGTTGAGGGTCGGGTTAGGGTTAAGTCAGAGTAAGGACCCTAAACCCTAAACCCTAAACCCTAAACCCTAAACCCTAAAATGTACGTAGGTGCTCGGTGCTGCGTTCTGGGGTTTGGAATTGGGGTTTAGGCTTTCAGGTTTGGGTTTAGGGTTTAGGGTTTAGGTTAGTGGGGCCGCCAAATCTCTAGCGTTTCGGGCCCAATTGAAGCACACAAAGCCGTATTCTAATCATTGAATCATTATGGCCCCCCCATATCCAAGTCCTCATAGAGCCTTTTGAATGAAACCCTCCGCAAGGAGCCAAACTCTAATTTTTAAGGGTCTTGTCTGCTACCCCCCACACCGGACCATCCCTAGTGCTCTGAACCGGCTGCCCTTGCGCGGGGGCATCGTAACGTTCGTCATGGAAAAAGCATGTTTGCGAATACAATTTTACAAGGTTATACATAACTACTAAAACAGTTTTACAATGTTATACACATAACTACTAAAATACAACTTTATGTATAACATAACTACTAAAGCCGTTATCGTCAATGATTGCTACTGGCACAACTATCCTTCTACCCTCTGGTAGGAGAACGTATCTGGTCTCTAGGGTCTAGGGCTTATATGGATAATTTAGGGCACCCTCAACCCTAAATCAAAAACCTTAATTTAGGGCACCCTCAACCCTAAACCCTGATTTGGGGCTTAGAGGGATTCAGCTCACAGCACTTTGACGAGGTTTTCGCTTCGCTCTTGGCTGCCACAGCGCCTTTGGCGCCGGCACCGGAGGGCACCGGTGCGGTGGCCTATGCCGACGCTCGGAGAGACGTTCCGTGAAGGGGGTCCTTTAAGGCTACTACGGAGGTTCTGTGTCGGGTTTAGGGTTTCTGGGATAGCATTATAGCTACTTAAGTCGAATCGGATTGCAAAAGATGCGCGTTCAAAATAAAGTTTGCTATCAAGTTTACGTTTAAGGGTTCTGCAAGGCTTAGAAAAGGTTCTATGTTCGCCACTATAGAGTTACTGTAAACCCAATGTTCATAGGCTCGTAGGTGTGATAAGCTGTTACTTCGCGGGGTTTGGGGCTACAGGGAACGTCTTAGGGGCTTTTTAGTCCAGAATCAGAATGTAAGCAGTTTCGGGCTGTTGGATGCTTTCAAGTGTAGGACCTGTGTTAGAAGGTTTACTTTAGGGCATATAGGGTTTGGCTTTAGAATTGAGGCTGAGGGCATGCAAGCAAAGCTTATCGTTTTTTTGCAGTAGGTCTTTACTTGCTTTCGAGTCGCGGGTGAAAGATTTGGCCCAGTCACGAAACAGCCAAGCTTGCTTAAGCAATCAGCAACAATTAGCAGATTGCGAGAACGCGGAAGAGGCGGACATGAGGGCTCGGTTGCTTCAAGTAGATGAAGCCGACCGGACATACTGCCAAAAGTATGGCTGCAGGGCTCGAAGCTATTGCGAACACACACGAGGATGGAGAAGTACAAGACACGGACCGTCATGCGCTGGGGTCCAGAAAAGTCCGGGGATAAGACTGCTTGGAAGAAGATTGCTGGTCAGCGCGATCTTCTTCGAGTTTGCTGCCTGCCCAAGGATCCAGCCGCCTCAATATGTGGGGTGATTTAGAGCATAAACCCGATTGTGTCCTCATTCGACGATATAAACAGAGTTCATGACTCAGGGTACAACATCCAGTGTTGTTTGTACTAGTTATGCCTTGCTTCTTTGGTGAGGGCAAATGCTGAACCTTGAACTCCAATTGCTACACCCTGAACTTCCCTCACCCCTAAAAGCCTAAATCACAGACCCTAAGTCCAAAGTCTGCAACCCTGCTAAGTTTTTGTGTATCGGAGTTTGAATCACGTGATCTTCTTCATCCCTCTGGTTTGGCCGACATTCGAAGTTTCACACGAGGAAACCTGCGGCAAAGTACGCATCTGGTATAAGCATAAGGTGTGCACAGGGTCTGCAGCATGCCAAACCTCAGCTTCACGACAGTCGTCGCAACCCGTGGCAAACTACGAGAGGCAGAGCAGCAGTGCATTCTCCAATGAATCGAGAGGGGTACCCTTGATGGTGGAGCACTGGCATTCTCGATTTCTGGGGTTGAGAAGCGACGGCTCGAAGTGCTTTTGAGGAGGCCCTTCCCGTGAAACGCAATAATGCGGGGGGAGCAACGAGCACTTGAGTCTGCTGGTTGGGTGATCCCGCTTGCTCTTAGACACGCCCTCTAGTAACTCTAGTAGTAGCCCTCCTAGAAGGCACCCTTACAGGAACCCCTCAAGGGAACCCTGTTCTCGGAAACTACTGAGCCCAAGACCCTAAAACCCGACTGGCCCCTAATGCCCTGAAGCCTAAACCCTAAAACCCAGTATGTTCAACCACAAGCGTTTTAAACCTCCAGAGGCCTGAAGCCCTAAACCGGCCCTAAACTTAAACCCTAGAGTCCCAAAGCCTAACCCCAAACCCCTAAACCCTAAACCCTAAACCCTAAAACCGTAACACCCTAAACCCTAAACCCTAAAACCCTAAACCCTAGACCCTATAAGGAGATCTTGTCCAGCTTCGAAGTCGTCCTGGACCCGGATCTGGTGAAGGCGGCGGCGCGCGGCTGAGAGGAAAACGGAGCCGCCGCCGAGTTGGGGTTTGATGGGCCGAGTTTAAGGTTAAGGGGTTTAGGGTTTAGGGTTCAGGGTTTAGGGTTTAGGGTTTAGGGTTTAGGGTTAGGGGTTTAGTGTTTAAGTTTAGGTATTTAGGAGTCGAGGGTCTAATGCAGGGGCCTTAATCATCACCAATATTATTTTGGGGGGGTTCCTTATTATGATTATCGTAGAATGGGTTCCCAAAACCCTATTCTAATAATGAAGGCCCCTAGATTAGGGTTGTTGGGTTTAGGGTTGAGGGTTCAGGGTTTAGGACTCAGGGTTTTGAGTCGGGTGTTGTGGATTGAGGTTGTAGGGTTGAGGAGGGTGTTAATTAGCGCAGAGGGTAAGGGTTCAGGGCTTAGGTTTAGGGATATGGGCTTAGGTCTAGGGTTTTGCCCTTGAGCTCTAGAGCCCGATACCCGAAAGCCGCTAGAGTCCATAAAGGTTGAGGGTTTAGGGTTCAAATCAAGGTTTAGTTTAGGGGTTTGGGTCTAGGGGTTTAGGGTTTTAGTGTGGGCTTTAGCATGTAATCCCTTAGCTGGAAAAGCCCCCATGCCAACCCTAACCCATGATCTTCTTCGCCATCCTCTTACCTGCAGCAACTAACTCAATGTGAGTTCGAAAGCCCCAAGCCCAGAACCCTACATGGGTCCGGCTGTAGGTCCCCCAAATAGTACGACACCCTTATGAAAAGGACCCTCGAAAGAGACCCTATTTTGGAGAACTGCCTACATGCTAGAAACTGCTCGAAGCGCTCAAGCCCTCTGAGCTCTCAGTTCTACGCCCGAAAACCAATATCCCAAAACCGGTAAAACCGTAAAACCTAAACCCCGAACCCTAGAAACCCCAAAAGCTCCACCCCATCTTAAAGCCGCAGCCACGAAAGCTTTAAGGCCGAACACTGAAGACCAACAAGCCTAAATTCTACATAAACCCCAAATCCTTCAAGAACCTCCGTGGCCTTTCTGGGCGGTATACCTTGAACCCTAAAACTTAAATTTTGCCCCCAAAACTAAACCTGGACGTTAAACCCTAAACCCTATACCGCCCATACACTTTGAAATCTATGACTATTGCTCCATGCACGCGCTCGAAAAGCCTTTCGTGACGGTGACATTCGAAAAATTATACTCCACGAACGGAGGACTGGCGGTCGCAGCCTTAGCATCTTCATCTTCGATTGCCAGCGGTATCCAGAGACGCAGCGCAGTTCATGTTGCTCATCGAAGCCAGTTGGACGCCCCTGACGCTTAAAGCTGGACGACCATGCGAGCGCAACTTATAGCACAACTTGCACTATTCCGAGAGGAACACGGGACTAAAAAAGAAAAGGTTCACTCCTGCAGGAAGAGCTCGAGTGTACATGATACAAGAGCTCCCCAACCCAGAGCTCAAGCGATCCCGATCAAGCAATGCTGAGTTGGATACGCATCATGGTATTCCAAAAGTCAGTGGTAGCAATCTGGCTCAACAGCTTACTGCGCTGCACAGTAAGTCACAACAACTTTTATCAGCTTCCGTCTTTTTGTCCGCATGTGTGGTTTGGGGCCCTGGGGAACGAAAATTGGAGGGCACAGGTTACTTACACAGATGTGGTTTTGGGGCCCTGGGCAACCAAATTGAAGGGCACAGGTTTCTTACGCAGATGTGTTTTGCTCTGGGAGACTAAGTTGAACGGCACATCAAGAGTGGTGTTGACTTGCTTCTGCGATTGCTTCCCCGCAGCGTCTGCAGCTTGGCTATGGTGCATTCTTCAAGTCTTCCACTTGCAACATGGTCCTGTCCCCAGAAACGCGTCGCGAGTCATCGTGTGTTGTGGCTTCTGCTTGCGGATGCGATGTCCAAAAAGGCGTTCATGACGAAGTTCATGGGCTTTCAGTATGCCTGCGCCTTGATTTCCTGATATTTCTTTGCGTTTGTTAGCTACATGCTGCAAAGGTGACGGAAGACGAGCTGATTGCTGCAGCTGCACAGGCGGGAGACGTCTGTTCAGGGGTTGTGCTGTTGTCGGCGCCTCACATATGGACGAGGAAGGATATCGCGTGATTATCACTGTCGTGGCCTGAGTTTTCGAGCAGGATAGGTTTTCAGCATTCGGCAATGTATCTGCAAAAGGCAGATGGGATTATTGCAGAACCCCAGGCCCGGGGCTGGAACGCTGTATTGCGAGCATTCATCGCGTGTTGAGTAATTTTGGACCTGATGGTTCCTAGCAGCAGAGCGGCCTGGGCAGATGTCGATTCGGCTCAGAAGCCTAGTTCAGCTGCTGTTTGATGGCACAGATTAAGATTCGTGGCCGAGGATGGGCGTATATTCGGATTGATGAGGCGTGTGTGCGCAGCTGAAACAGCGTGGCGTGAGTCCTTGAAAACATGCGTTGCTTTCCAGGCATGGAAACGCTGGGGAACCAGAACATGCATGCGAGATGAGGCTGTGTAGCAGCCACGGAAAGAAGTCCGGGGCGTAGCGGCGGGGAATTCAATGATCCGTGTGCCGCAGGCAGCACCGGTGGTTGTGCACACGCGCCAGCTTCCGCAGGCGGGACATTTATGTATCGCAGCGCGCGGCAGTCTCGGTGAAACTTGTCGTTTTCGACCAGCCCCGCTGCGCGACAGGACAGAGCAGCCATCCAGGACGCAGATCACGCGATTCTGGATTACTACACGGCCCTCGCGGACCAAAAGCGGACACGGGCCTTTACTGGCCTCCTCTTGGTGACGACGCCTCCAGGCGATGCGCGACGCTGGGGTTTGACGCGGAGGCAGACACAAGAGTTCCGACGCGCGAACCTCGGCCGCAGGCTTGCTTACGATGCTGCGCAAATTACGAACTTGAAGACGCTTCGAGTACACGACAAAGACTTCCACAGGAATGCCTGTGTAGCAGTATCATAGTGTGCGGATGTTCGATGAGAAGCGGTCGGAGACCCCACGTCCGGGCAATCGAGGTTAGATCTCAGATGCTGCACCGTAAGAATTAGTTGGGATGCTTTGATCTCCGGGCAAGACTTCTGATGCCTTGGCCCCCTATACGTGGGCATGTTTTGCATGGAAAGCCGGAGTGCGGCCAGCAAGTTCGGTCCAGCAACCATGCTCTTGGCAGGATTTGCCGTGCTGCTGCCGAAAAACCTCAAATTAGACCCAAATGCCTTCACCTTATACTCTCAAACCCTTACTTATATAACCCCAAACGCCTAAACCCCTTAATCCCTTAAGCCCTAAACCCCAAAACCAAAAGCCGCGGCTGGAAGCCCTTGGCCCGAACTTTGTGCAGTGGTCGGGTCGCCCCGGGCTTTGGGCCCTAGGCTTAGGGTTTAGGGTTTAAGGCCCCAGGCGGTTGAAGGAATCCTCGTCTAACTATTAAGGCCCCTCTATGATAGCCTCGTAGGCATGTAGTACATGAGAATCAGTATAGGCCTGATGTAGGGTTTCGGGAGCCTGGGTCCGGAATTTAGGCTTCGGGCTTAGGAATCAAGCAACCCTAAACCCTATAGATTTACGGGTTTGGAGCATGAGATTTGGGACTAGCAAAGCGGGCTCTGAGTAATGTAATCTTGTAATCAGTTTGAAGCCCAACGACATTCTCTAGTAGATCCAAGATGGTGTGTATGAGAGATTCAGAAAAACGGCTAAACAGCAAGATCTGTAATTGAAATACACCCAAAAACAGATGCCTTCGTGCAAGAAAAACACCAAAATCTTGTAGCATTCGGTCTGCGTCGGTCTGCGGCGGTCTGCAGACATGGGGCACGACTCTTGCGCCACTTGTCCCAAAGCTAACTTAGTAAGTAGGGTTATACGGTGCCGTACTGCAGTTGAAATTAGCTGCGTGCGTATATGCATACATGCACACCCATACAGTGCTTCATTCACTGGCCACTACTTGCAGGGTTTAGGCGGTTTAGGGTTTAGGGTACTACTTGGGTAGTTCTCCAAATTAGGGTCCCTTTTGGGATCCTTTTCTATACGGGTGCTGTGCCCCAACAAGGGACCCTGATTCAGAGAACCACCCACTTGCAGGATTGGAGGGGGCTTATTATGTTGTAAAGCCCCACAAAAGATGCTACCCCAAGAATGCTCAACCCTTGGACTGGCCCTAAACCACGAAACCTTGCAAGATCCCTTAATGAAGGAACAGACCATACCTTAAATCATATTAGGGATCCTACTATAGTGCAAGGTCTATTCCTGAAATGAGGGATATTGGAAGGTTTGGGCCCTATTGTAGCCGGCTGATCATCAGAAGCTCCGGGCGCAGGTTTTATAGTTCTAGTTAAGGGCGTTGTACAGTTTAGGGTGCCATACTTGGGGTTGTTGGTTTAATGTCTCTGGTTGGAGTCTGGTGCAAAAAGGACTAAACCACAAACCTAAACCGTGAACCTTGAACCCCCATTAAACCCTAAGCTGAAGCCTTTGCCTGAAACCCAACCACAGGTTCCGCCTTGATAGGGGAGCAACAATCCCAGCCCAGGTTACTCTGTGCGTAGATGGCGTGGCTTGCGCCGGGGAGATCGTCTACGGTGCCGCTTGCCTTCATGGTTTTCGTGCCCGGTACATTAGACCTCAAACCCTTTACCCGAAAGCCTTAATTACCCCAGTAGAAGTCTTTCTCATCTCCAAGCCGTAAGCCCTGTACCCTCAAAGCGAAGCTTTCGGCCTGGCGCTTCCAATGCAATTCAGGGTTCCTGCTTTTGGGCGTCATCATGATGAGAAGTTGGTCTCGCTCACTTGCTGGCTTGTCGCATCTCCGCTGCTGCTTTGCCGTGAAGTTGATGGCTTAAAGCCAACAAGCAAAAGCTCACAGCCTACCTATACTCTCCGTTGCAGTTCTGTCTTGGGGTTTACCAATTCTTTTGGAGGATCCTATAAGGTAGCCCAAATCCGGGACTACGACGGAGACTTTTCATACACCCTCCAAGCCCTAAGCCCTAAACCCTCTAACCTATCGCCTCAAAGCCCAGACCCGAAGCTTGAGGCATTGTTTAAGTCCATCTCCGGCTACGTCTCTGCGAAAATGGTGGCTGCTGTGAGCTACATGTGTGGTTCCAGGCGGGATCCAGGCTAAAGTGCTCTTCCAATGATTCTAACTATATATATATATATACTATAAGGCTTTAAGATCTAGTCGTTCAAAGGTGTAATGCTGTGTATATATATATATACACATACATACATAGACACATAGATACACACACCAACACAGTTTTGCTTTATATGTATGTATGTATTAATGTATGTATGTATGTATGCATGCATGTATGTATGTATGTATGTATGTATATATGTATGTATGTGTGTATGTATGTATGTATGTATGTATGCATGCATGCATGTACGTATGTATGTAGGTAGGTATGTA